GCACTGTTCGCAATAGCTAGGATATGGAAACAACCTAGATGCCCCTAGATGAATGGATCCAAAATGAACAACCTAGATGAATGGATCCAAAAATTGTGGTATCTATACACAATGGAATATTATGCAGCCATTAGAAATGACAAAATAATGGCATTTGCAGGGAAATGGATGGAGCTAGAAGGAATCATGTTGAGCGAGGTAAGCCAAGAGCAAAGAGACAAACGGTACATAGTCTCCCTGATAAGTGGATGCTAAATCCAAAATGTTAGGTGATACGACAAAACTAACAGGACTTAAGAAACAAAGAACTCCCGCTCATCTGGTTGAACCACTACTAAATATCCCCATGCTGCTGATCACAAATATGGTATATAACATGTGAACACTGTTATATATTACAGACTGTGATAGACAATTTGCTCCAGGAAAGTTAGAATGAACTTGTGACTTTGAAATTATGTAATCACTTAATCACAATCAAAAAAAAAAAAAAAAGAACCTCGGGGAAGGGAGGGAGGGAGGGGATAGTAGGGGGAAAACAATGGAGGGGGTAACAATGTTCAAGAGGAAGTGTACTCATTACCTCACTCATGTAACTGTAATCCTCTGCATAGTATCTTTACAATAAAAAAAAAAAAGAATCATCCACAAAGAGCCTTGAGAGGCATTCCTTGAACTCAACACTAGTTTCCCCAAAAGTGAAGATAATGCACAACTGCTTTTAAAGCTCATAGTAGTTTTCATACACTAAAGCAAATCAGATTAATTGGATTTAATATATAAATATTGACTACAAGACTAAAGAAAGCAGGATCAGTTGGGCGATCCTACTTCTGCTTTTAAATCAGGCCTGACGAATCCTGCATACTTAATTCAATGCTGCCTCTGCTCTCCTCTACGAAGTCCATTCTGTTGGGTGCTGATGGCTCATACCTGTAATCCTACCTACTTAGGAGATTGAGATCCTAGGATTGAAGTTGGAAGCCAGCCTGGGAAGAAAAGTGTGAGACTCTTATCTCTAATTAATCACACACACACAGACACACACACACAGACACACACACAGACACACACACAGACACACACACACACACACACAGAGCCAGAAATGGAGCTGTGACTAAAGTAGCAGAGCATTAGCCTTGAGCAAAAGAAGCTCAGGTACAATGTCCAGGTCCTGAGTTCAAGCCCCAAGACTGGCCCTAAAACAACAACAACAAAGCCAGAGTCCTTTCTATGTCTTATGCCACGACTCAACTAGAATTGACATTGAGAAGCTAGACATCAGTGGCCACTGTCTGTAATCTCAGCTACTTGGGAAATGGAAAAAGACAATGGAAAGATGATAGTTTGAGACAAACTTTGGCAAAAGAAAAACTCTTTCTCAATCCATGGCTGAGTACAGTGGTGTAGCCTGGCATCCTAAACTACATGGCAGGCTAAAATTGAGAAGATTATGGTTCTAGGGCCACCAGGGTGGAACAATTAATTCCCTCCATCTCAATGGAGAAAAGCTGAACACAGTGATGAGTGTCTGTTATCCAAGCAAGGATGAGAAGTCTAAAGTAGGTAGACTCAGTTCACACATGTGCCTGGCAAGAAACAAGATCTTAGTCTCAAAACCAAAAATGGGGATCTAAAGTCATGGCTCAGAGGTACAGCATCAGTGTGGAAAGTGCAATGTCTTAGGTTCAAAACCCAATTTCTGTCCAAAAAGGGGGGGGGATTAAAGAAATAATAATTAAAATATAGAAAATAATATTCTGCCATGCAGTTGGCTCTCACCTGTAGTATTAGATACTCAGGAAGCTGAGATCTGAGGATTATGGTTTGAAACCAGGAGGTGTAGAAAGGTCCTTGAAATTCCATCTCTAATCAGCAAAATGCTGGACTGGAGGGCATGGCTCAAGTGGTAAAGTGCCAACCATGAACAAATAAAGAACAAGAGCACAAGACCCTGAGTGTAAGGCTCCAAGTTCAAGCCTTAGTACTGGCAAAAAAAAATGTACATAAATACATAAATAGAAATGAGCAAATAGATAACAGACCCAGGATAATAAATATCAGTACAGCACTAAATTTTAAGCTCCTAAAAAATATGATTAAAATAATGTATCCAGACCTCAGACAAATTGGCTTGGCAACCTGGTAACACACTCTTTGACTTGTACTCTCATTTTCTTATCTCTAAAACAAGTATTTTCTTCCCTACTTCAACATTTCTGTTGGAGTATGAAGGGAATTTTTGACTAAGGAATTATTAACATCTGATACTCGGCAAACATTCACTGACAACTGATTTAATGTTAATTTTTGCACTGCTTGTGAATACAAGTAGAAGTAATATGCCCCTCTGACTAAAAGGTAAAAGGTGTCATTTTTAGCTTTAATGTATGTTCATATACCTTTTAGTTATAATGTATATATACATATACAAAGTTAACTATAACAATATATAGGTCTTTTGCCCAAATTGACACCTTTTCCATAAGACTTGAAGATGTGTTTGTCTACTTGATGGAAATTGAGCCTTCTGACAGCTCTGGATGTCGGTTTCAATGGAAAAACAAAATAATGAAAGGGGTAAACTCATAAATAGATGTTGAATTCTTTTTGTGGAGGACTAAAGGTAACTTAAATAAATAAAAACAAACAAACAAGAACAAGTTTCCATAGACTCATTGCCTCAGGCCCACTTTTGGGAGAACTTCCTTGTCAACACCTTAATTCTACCTGTGTAGGTCACATCCTAACACATTTTCTAGGCAACAAGAATTTTTAGATGCAACAAAAAGGCAATTAAATCCATATGGCTAATTGTCTGACAGCAGCAGAAAATTTGAGCAGGCATTCATTGGAGAATCTCAGCTACATCTATTGGCAACGCATAGGTGCTCAATGGCCCAGGAAGGGGTGCAGCCCGGGGGTTCTTTTCTTAAGTAAGTTTTAGCAAGGATTTATTTTAGCATAAAAGGATAAAGTAGAAGAAGTGGAAGAAGGAAAAAAAGGAGAAAGATTTCCTGCTTCCATGTAAGAAAAGGGATGAAGACCCCATAACAAGTTCTTTGCAGACACAGAAGCTTCTAGATGACAGATCACTTACAAATTCCTAGGGAAGGGGTGGGAATCTTTTTTCCTGGATGGTTCTATTATGGTTCACATAATAAAAATTTAGGTGGCTGTGATGAAAACTCCCAAGACTTACTGAATATTAAATCTTTCCTGAAGTTGTCTTGGCCAGGCAATATCATGTGATTTCCCAGTCCTTAGACAGCCAACAAGCCTCAGGCCTTGTGTTCTTGCTCACAGCTGGCGCTCTGCTACTTAAGCCATGTCTGCAGCATGGTTTGCTGCTGGCTATTTTGGAGATGTAGTCTTAGAGACTTTCCTGCCTAGGGTGGCTTCCAATGGATCTTTTGGTTCTCAGCCTTCTGAGTAGCTAAGACTGCATATGCGAGCCATTAGTAACCAGGCTTTGGTCTCTTTTACAATAAATTCTAATATTTTGAAGATGGAAAAAAATACACATACTTCTCCACTGAAGAAGCTCAAGTCTTACATTGGTCCACAAAAAGGAGTTAGTACTTACATCTGAACTTTCCATCAACTATAAATCTTCATAGTATTTAAAAAACACTTCTCTCCACTATTAATGCTTCATTCTTTCACCCAATTATGATTTCAAAATTATCGATTTTCTGTCAGAGACTAACTGGGGGAAATGGAAAATCAGAACTATGAAAAAGCTATCCATGACAAAGAGACAAAAACCAGGTAGAGAATGAAAAAGAGAAAGGAAACTTGAAAAGTGAACAAGAAAATTTGCTGAAAACCTAGCCTGAGAGTGGTCTATCCTTAAGTGAACAGAGGGGCTCAGAACCCCAATGCTACCCATCAAGTCCAGGCTAGAAGGGGAGAAATGGGACTAGATCAAGGTCAAAAGCCAACGACACAAACAATACACTGGTGTTGGGCCACTGCTACAGGGTCCTAGGCTGTCAGAGGAGATAAAATAAAACAATGCCAGCCATTGTATAGAGCTATGAGAGTTTATAAAAGGCACATCACTGCCAAAGCTAACCAGCCAAACAAATAAAGAGGATTTCTACCTGTGCATCCAATTAGAATTACACTAACTTTAGGTTAGCAGACAATGAGGGGCATCTGTGAGGAGAGCAAGGGAAGATATAGCACTGAGTACCAACATGCCTTTGAAATAAGCATTCAGATTATGTTTAAAAGGAAAAAGGCAGTGCACTTTTGGAAACTTAAATACCCTTCACTGATTTCTTTTTTCTCAAAATTCTCTGGGCCAGTAGCTTTAGAAAATATAACATGTACATGGTTGGAAGCTATTAGTGATCCAATGAGTCAAAGGAAAGTGGATCATGAGGCACCAGATATACTGAATGCCAAACTCTTCAAAGAAGAGATCTGTAAGTAGTACCACATAGGGTACCTTGCAAACAGCAAAGCTATATAAAGCTTGTGCAGTTATAAGATAGGAGGAAGACTGTCCTCCTGCAAAGTGTAATTGATGGAAATTCTACAGATGAACAGCATTTAACCAGGCTTTCTAACACTATATCTGACTGGTCAGTAACACATGCACACAGCACTTACATTACAGAGTACTTTCAGATACTTTACACAATCCCAAAAGCTACTATATAATCTCATTTTCAAGGGAGAAACATGAGGTGACAAAGAGAAGCTCCACCAAGTCGCATAGCTCATCATGACAGTGCTCACTCTTAATTCTTCAAGCCTTAAGTCACATTCAGATCACATTAAGTGCTCCAACCCTCTATAAGGCAGGCAGAAACTTTTCTCATCTTCTCTATGTATAACTAAGACTCCTAAATGTTTTCTCCATGTACAATAAATAAAAATAAATTAAGGTGAAAAGGAAGGCTTTAGTGCTATAGACAAGCCACAAGACTTTGCATACACTATTTCCTAGTAAATATTACAATAATAATAATAATAAAAGTGCATACCTGTTTCATCTCTCCAATGTGGATGTGTTCTTTTTGTTTTTCTTCATATAAACATCTCAGAAAAGAAATAATTAATTCATTCTCTCGCTGCTCATTTCTTGGTCTCAATTTCTTTAAAATGAAACATAAATGGGATATATTAAGAATACTTTTAAATGTTAACAATTAAACACTTCTAAAGAAGGCCTGACAACGTCTACTCACTGATCATGCTTTTTACCAAATCATCTCACCAGGGGGCACCAGTGATCTTAATAGTGAAGTTAAATTTTTAAAACAGAATAGTAGAGTCACTGAGCCTAATTTAGATCTGATCTCTGATGTTCTTTTAGCTAAAATAAAATTTTACCATCAGATAGGGACATGGCCAAAATATTTAATAAATAAACAGTTTTTTAAACAGAAGAAACAAAATCTATGTCAACACCCAGAGGTCAAGAGCCATAATGACTACACAGTTATAAGCAATTAGGAACTAGAAAGGAACATAGCAACTGGATTTAGGGTTACAGGGTCACATGCCAAATGTGTTCATCATGAAGCGCTTTGTGGAAGCCCCATGGGGCAGGTACTTCCATGTAAAATTTCATAACTTGCTCACTCTCTTCTTCTTCTCTTTGTTTAAAGTCTGTCTAGGTCTTTTAATATGTAAGCAGGGCACTGACAAAGCACAATACATTAGAAATCAGGATATGTAGGTTCACTGCCAAACAAGTCCAAGTCCTTTGTTTTAGCTTCTTGGTCTATTAAAATAAGAATTATGCAAAAAATAAACTTCATGGTCTCCTTCAGCTCCTAAAATCATAGCATTTGAAATACTGGTCACAGTCTGTTTTCAAAAGATCATCCAATTTAACATATTATTTTATTTTCTCTTAATATGGAAAAAGCCAAAATGAACTACTCTGTAGTTTGGTAATACTGCCCTATCCTGTTGTGGCTCCAAACTTCTAGCCTGCCCTTTAACATAGAGTCAAGATGTAATACGAAGATCAACTATACATGCAGCACCATTCTTGGCAATTTTTCCTCATCTAACTAAGGAATGATGGTGTTATCTTCTATGTCACAGTATTAAAAAGAAAGGCAACTTTAATCCAGACCTCTAGCATGCCCTCCCTTAAAGGAAAAGATCATTTGAAAGGGAGGTTGTAACCAGGCACAGGTGGCTCACACCTGTAATCCTAGCTACTCAGGAGGCTGAGATCGGAGGATTGCAGTTCAATGCCAGGCCAGGCAGGAAAGTCCATAAGACTCTTCAATTAACCACCAGAAAACGGGAAGTGGTGCTGTGGCTCAAATGTAGATCATTAGCCTTGAGCTGAAGAGCTGAGGGACAGGGCCCAGGCCCAGAGCTCAAGCCCCACAATCGACAAAAAAAAAAAAAGCAAGCTGTTGTTGTTACTCAAGGAAAAGACAATAAATGATTGGGGGAGGGGGTCTGTTTTCACTGAGAAGTTTGAAGTTTCATATCCAATCATCCAATATTTTAGAGGCTGAAGTGGACACTCAACCTGCTCTTCACACCATGAATCCTGATGTTACATAATTTTGTATATCAGATGCTAAAAGTAGTTTTTTTTCCAGAGTAAGTTTCTATTAGATAGTCAAAGGGGGAATGTGGCAGCAAAGTGTATCCTTGCAATGTCATCTTCACATGTGTCAATCAGACACATGGAAAACTATGTATCTCCAACAGTTCACAAATAAGAAGCAGCTTTGCAATGTCACAAGTCTTCTTAGGAAGAAAAGGGCCTATATGCCCTCATGCCCAGTACCAGTCCTATCAGGGTGCTCAAGGTCAGCAGCCATCATCTCCAACATTATTTCTATAGTTCACTTCCCTTTCTCCCTTCCTCTCTTCCACCTTCTCTATTTTTTCAGTACTAAGGAGTAAACTCAGAAGTTCAAGCACTCTGTCAACCCAAACCATACTGCAGACTCAGGCTAGTTTTTCTTTGATTTTGTGTTACTTTTCATTAACCATTTATTTACAAAAGCACTGAATATAGTATGCATGTTTTCTTTAACTACATAATCATGTACTATTGGACATAATTAGAATTTTATAATTGCCTTTTGAAAATTTGTCCCTGGAGGAGATTTTTAGAAATAAATTTCTCTCCAGGAAAGACAGTGCAAAGAAAAAGATTTACTTTTCTAAGTGAACACATAAAACCATGAAGCCATGTCTCTGTTTATAAGCTTTTTGAACTGTATGCCTTTCAACATATTAGCAGATTATAGGTACTATCTAAAAAGAAACCAATAACTTGGTCTGGAAAAATGTTTTAGAAAAGAACCAGAATGGTCATTGAGAAAGCAACTCTTGAATGGACTATGAAAAGAAAATGTCAAATCAAATGTACAGCACTCAAGAAAGACAGACAACTGCAATAATGGGAATAAAATTGGAGCTGGGTTTTCAAAGCCATTGACAAGATTCTTTCTTAGTTCAGACCAACACAGAAAAAATAAAAATTAGAGACTTCTACAATGCAGTAGGTCCTGAGACATTACAAGGTTTTTTTTCTCCCCTAAAAGTGAACCCTTGTTATTTACTTGTTTTCTAAAGTCTCTTTGCCATCACATGTTGGGTTGTCTTTAAAACATGCATGGAGAATGGAGAAGCTCAGACTCCTGGCCATCAGTAACACCTCACTGCTACAGGAGGAAGTTCTGTGCATTATCTGCACTGTGTGACCTGTGTTTCAGAACATGCTCTGTGGCACGCTCAGCATGAATGTGAAACCTCACACTAGAGAAGAGAGGCACATCCTCTCTGCTTGTAAGAAGATGCTCCTATAAAAGACACACACACCAGTAAGTGGGTCAGTCCTGGCAGCCTGGGCTTTAATTCTAAATGCATTAACAATCAGTTGCCCATTTCTCAAGTCCACATATGATTCACATTGCATTTTTTCTAGTTAGTTCAAAAAAACATAAAGGCAATTGAAAACTCTGAAAATAACTAAGCTATTTTTGAAATATTAATAAAAAAAATCATTCCCTAGGCTGGGAAGTTGGATAGTGGTAGAGTGCTTGCCTTGCATACACGAGGCCCTGGGTTTGATTCCTCAGCACCACATAAGCAAAAAAAAGCTGGAGGTGGTGCTGTGGCTCAAGTGGTAGGGCACTCACTAGCCTCAAACTGAAGATCTGAGGGACAGCGCCCAGGTCCAGAGTTCAGGCCCCATGACCGACAAAAAAAAAAAAAAAAAAATCATTCCCTAAGGTCCTTTCTACAAATACATGGCAACACTACTGCATAAGGATGAGAAGGGAGAAAACTAGGGACTTAAAAGTAAAAGATAATGCTTTAGAGCCACAGAGACACAGGGGGCTGCTTGCAGATCACCAGGTACCGGATTGCAGAACAGCGGATCGCCAGGAACAGAGAAACCTACCAGCCGGGAGTCTCCAGGAGGATCCCACCCCACCCATCACTCTCCACCGGAGCGGAGAGGCTCCATCCCGCCAAAGCCGCCCGGCACCAGCAGCGCCACAAAGGGACCTGTCTGCAGACCCACCCGCCCAATCGCGATCGCAACGACCCGGCGGGGGGCCGCCCAACCCAGCCCGCAACCACCCCAACTGAACTCGGACTGCAACAACAACTGACGGACTGCAACAACAACTGACGACCTACAGGGTGAGTACCCATCAGGGGACAGGGAATCCATCAAGGGAGACCAGAGCTGGAGGGAATCCCCAGACCCTGACCTAGACTCCCTACCCCAACACCCGGACCACAGGACCCACTAAAACTGGGAACTGTTCGAGAGCTCCACCAGCCGGTAGAGCACACTCTGCTGGCCAGGCCAGAGCAAGAGCGCCCTTGGAAGGGAACTTAAATGCTCAAGCCAGGAACAGTGCCCCTGGGTCAAGACTACCAACAGTAGAAGAAATTTGAACTGTGTCCTCCAGGCTGCATAACCAAGGTGGTATACACATTAGCACAGGCCTAACGAGCGCGCTCCAGGCTGGGGCCGGAACCAGGCCAGGGGACCGGCGCCTGAACAAAGCAAAAAGGGTCAGAAGTGGGGCTGTGGCTCAAATGGTAGGGTGCCAGCCCTGAGCTGAAGAGCTGAGGGACAGCACCCAAACCTAGAGTTCAAGCCCACAACCAGCCCAAAACAAACAAACAAAAACACATCAGGAGCCCATAGCAGACTCCAGTATTTGGGAGAGTGCATCCAGAGCATCTGATCTTCCCAAGAGCACCCGCAGGAGCAAACACAAGCAGTCCAGGCTGCTCAACCCTTCCAAAGGCAGGAATTGCTACAGCAGAGAGCTGAGAATCCTAAGTGAATAGCAGCTGGAAATAGGCTCCCAACAGAATCCAGATCAGGCACAGACTCTCTCTACCAATACAGAATCAGCAACCAAGCAAAGACAGACACACCAAAACAAGATTGAAGAGCAGTCTCCTGAACCCCCATGCGAAAATCACAGAGAAAAATCACAAGGTTTACCACTACCCAGGACAGCAAGCTCACCTCAAAAGCCAGCAGCCACGCAGGGGAGAGCCCCAGTGGGAGCAAAGCAGGAATGGAAGACAAAAACTACATCCAAGGGTTGCTGGAGGCAATGACTCAAGAAATAAAGCGAGAAATGGATCAGAAATTGAAAGAGCACAAGGATGAACTATCAAAAGATATACAGGACATCAAACAAAAATTGGATGCAAAAATAGAAGCTGCACAAACCTCAGTAAGAAGTGAGATAAACGCCAAATTAGAGGTAATGCATACTGATATCACCTCATTGAGAGGTGAGATCAGTACTCTGAGAACCAACATTGAATCCATAAAGGGATCCATTTCCACCATGCAAACCACAATAGAAGCCACGGTCAACAGAGTGAATGAAATGGAAGGTAGAGTGTCAGATACAGAAGACAGAATACACCAACTGGACCAAAAAGTGACAGATATGGAAAAATCACTCAAATTAAACCAAAGGGAAATTCAAGAGCAAGCAGATAATGCTAAAAAATTTAACCTCCGCATAATCAGAGTGGACGAAGGTGAGGAATTCCAGAGCAAGGGAATGCAACACCTATTTAACAAGATAGTCAATGAAAATTTTCCCCACCTCAAAAACGACCA